GCATGCTACTCTATCAGGTCTGTAAACGGTACTATCAAGGCCTTCCTCATGCCATACTACTAGTGAACTGGGACGAACCATTATCAACATATCAACAAGATGAGCAGAAATGCCCTTTGGCAAGAGAAAGGACACTAGTCAAGAAGAGCCATGATAGACAAGTGGCATCGCCACACTCACTGGTAGGCATACATAGGAGCGTACCACAAAGCGCCGAGGATCCTTCACCAATGTATTCAAGGACAGGGTGGAAATAACACATGCCCAATGTGTGATCAACGGTTGGCAAGTCTTCGCCTTCTCAAATGTGTGAGACCCGTCATTACCAATCACAAGGATACCCTCTTTATCCACTATCTCCCGAAGAACTTCTACCTCGAATACAGTCGGAGTAAGGGCAAACTTTGGGAACCTCTCAAAAAAGAAGCAGAGCAGGAACTAACTGTAAACGAAAGAGACAGGCTTATATCGACCCACAAAACGTACCATGACTCGATGTAGTAAATCCAATCGATAATACAGGTTCCCAAGAAATAGTGGGGCTAAGGGGATCCGATCCCCTTTGAAGAATCTAACTGCCAGTGGAAAGACAAAAGGATTGAGAGAATCTGGAGGTGTGCTCGGCAGAATGAAGAATAAGAGAAAGCAAGTCAGAAATCCCAGAAAGTAAAGCCTGGAACCATACATCGGGCCGACCTCGTACTCCTGAGAACCAGGTTCAGCATCTCTAGCCAGGGGTTGAAGATCTCTAAAGAAGTAGCGGAACCATGCGGTGTAGGAGACACGATCCATCCTCACTCGTTTAGTCCTCCTCGTTGAACCATCAAACACAGAGCCCTACCGACCGCAAGCTTGAAGATTTTGTTTTAGGGATTGGATTAGAGAATCATCCTCAGAGGGTATCCGTTCAGGGTAGAAGGCATCAACGCCAGTCACTTCTAGAAGCAGCGACATGAACACATCCTCGAAAATGGGCCTCATCTCATGTTGGCCAAGTATGAAAGTGTGTGTCTCGGTGCTCCACCGGAGAGCCATGGCTTCGAGGCTAGTATTGTTGCGACGAATAGATAAAGATCGAGATATCTTCACTGGAATCAATAACCGGGCCTCCTGAAGCCTCTGAAAAAGGCCCCTGTTCGAGAGGGCATAATCGACCCACTCTTGCCAACCAATAGGGGGGTTGGAGAAAACCTTGAACTAGGGATAGCAGTAATCTCCTCACTCAATCCTAAAGTGTAGCACCGAAGAAGGGGAAATGAAGGCCCCATGTCTGGAATCAGTATCCTTAAAAAGACACAATGAACTCTCCTTTGGAGATGGAAGAGAAGCGATGGAGGTAGCCGCTCGCCAGAACGGGTCCTTCCGGCCAAAATAAGGAGATTTCCTCCACTCTGACACCGGAGGCACATCCCTCTCTTTTATAAGAGCCGGTTCTGATGACCCTGGGATGATAGATTTTTTCGAGGAGACATATAGCTGAAATAATAGGCATAACAACAAGGAGTCGACCGTATCAAATTCAAAATATCAGAATTGAGGCAATGCAAGTTAATAAGAATTTAAATGGAATTTCGGCATTAACATTTTATTTCCTCGAGTGTCCACAAGATCAGCACACAGCAATATATGGTCTTATATTCTATTACATCAGTTTATTCTTCCAAATGAAGCGTTCACTAAATTTGGATATCAGGAATTCATCCATCAAGTATAAGAAGCTCAATATCGGGTTTCACTATTTTTAAAGCCACAACAATTCATTGTTCGATAGCAAGATTTATAAAAAATATGAGGGACTCATTTCCTCGAATTTCGCTAGCAACAACATTTATTGTAGTTGCTCTACAAATTTCAAAAAAACAAGCAAAGCTAGCAACAACACTCACTTGCATTACATAATTCTCTCTCTACGTCAAATACCTCAATTCAAAATGGCAAGTATTCTATTAATAGCAGAGTGGTCTCACAAATGCAAAATTCAACAGCAGTGGTTCAATTTATATAAGCAATACCCAGAAAAATGAAGCTTAATACTGAACAGAGTCTCATTAGGCCTTTTCTCAGTGATGAAGGTCAACAAGTTATATTCAAGTCAAGCCCCTCAATAAGATTTCAAGTGCCACTGCATATTTCAATATTGTAAATCTCAAACAGATCAAAGTTCCGAAGCTAAGCAAAAATCCACTGGAATTATAGATTCTGAAATCAGTTTTTCACAAAAGGCTTCTAAAAAAAAAAAATCAAGAGAAAGAGGGATTTGAGCTTACCCACAAATTGGATGTACGAGGCAAGACTTAGTCATGATTTGGGTTGAAGTAATGAAGACTCAGATTGATAGAATTAGTCGGGGACAGCCGAGATAGGTCAGTGGTGGCGCATGTAGCCTGCACGAGCAGTGAGTGAGAAGAATGCTGGACACGAGGCACAGCTAACAGAGAGCAGCAATGTTAAAGGTGCTGGACACGAGACACACAAGCCACGCGAGTTGAGTGGTCGCACGACAGCGTCGCGGCTGACTAGGCAGACCCATGCTGCATTGGGGCCGCGACGTAGTTGGCATTGGCTACTCATAGGCTGGAACCAGTAGGCGTGAGCTGGTGGTTACCTAGATTGCGAAGCCAATGGTATCCACACCTATGGCGACAATGGTCGGCGCTGGACAGGTTAGCGACGGTGCCTGGAGCTGCAACGACGACAAGTGTGCACACGGCGGCGTCAGCGCTAGTCAGCAGAACCAAGCTCCGGTGCCTCTGGATCTCGGAGGAGTTACATCACTAAGATGAAGAACAGCACCAGCAGCTGAAGTCGTGACGGGTCAGCGACGGTGCCTGGAGCTGCAACGACGGCAATTGTGCAAACGGCGATGGTCTTCAACGCAGGCTAGAAGCTCTGGTTCGTGAAAGAAGAAGAGAGATGGGTGGCCTCTGCAAAGAGAGAGAGCCAAAATGGCTGTATCAAAAAAGATAGGTGTTATTGATTAGGGTTTTGTCCTTTTCCTTAAATAGAAAAAAGAGAGGTGTGATTCCTTGAATATTCCTTCAAATATTTTGAATATATATATATATAAATATATATACATATAATGGGCTTGCTGTATTCCCCAAAAAAAAAAAAAAAAGTAGTGTGTTTGGCCTATATTTTCAAAAGTATGAAAATGCGTTTATCAGCTTTCTTTTGCCTGGAATGAAAAAATATATATATATATTTCCAGATGTTCTAAAAAAAATCAATGACAAAAAAGAAAAAGAAAAAAAAAAATCCTTCTTGTTAATTGTCAATTTTATCCATAAATTACGGTGAGTCATCAACTTTATCCATAGGCCATGTCAAGACAATATTCCCGAGGACGTGATGTAATGTATGGCCAAAGAAGTGAAAGTATGCATGTCCGAGAAAACTAAAATTTCTCATACACACAAGGGGCAAAATGTAGGAGGAGTCAAGTCGGGCCCATTTAAATTAATTAGGCCCAATCAAAAAATCCAAAATTTGTGGGTCTGGATTTATCGCCATCAAATGGGCCAGATCGCTCTAAGTCTCGAAAGAGTTCGGATCGACGAACTTAGAGACTTACTCGGGCCCAGACTCGAAAGGGTATTGAGCAAGCCTAGAGATCCGAGGCACTCGGGATTCGAAAAGATTCAATCGCAATCTAGAAGCCGCTCTATTGGTGAGTCCCAGAACATTTGCGAACTTGGAGCATTCCAGATCAACCTGAGTGAGGTTAGAGTCCGAACAAAAGGCCCAAATCCCGAGGACGGTGGGTGGAAATGAATTCACTCATCGATTGATCTAGCCTATGCCCAAGTTGAGGTGGCATAATCCCGAGGGGTCCATGAGAATCGGCAATATTAGCGGCGGGGGGTCCTCTAGGACTACCTCGGCCCTTTGAGATGATTGGGGATCATTGGTTAAGTGCGGCTAAGAAGACGGGTTCGTCGAGAGGTTGATCTCCTCTTTGGGGTTTTCTTCATCCTCGGAGAGGTCACCTCCTCGAACAAGGTGGTTAGAGAAAATATTTCCCATGTCCTTTGCACATGGGTTCCATCCTACATCATGAGGTGTTTATAAATAGCACACACCCATAGCTTCACAAGGGATAGTTTTGGAGAGACAACTCTTGGAAAAGAACTAATTTCCCTTCTCCATTATCAACCTTGAGAGTGAAAGTGGGAGATCCATGAGAGAGCCTTGCCGTTATTCTCTTTCTAACTACTGCCTTCTTCTTCACCCAATCTCTTATCTCCATCATCTCTTTGCTTTTGTGTTCTTAGTCGTGACTATTGAAGAATCTCAATCTCTCATCATTTCTAGAGAATTCGAATTTTCTTCAAAGATTTTTAAAGATCTTCGAATTTTCCAACAACATTCTTGAACCTTCTTAATTTGGATAATTGATGGAGATGATTAAACTAAAATAATTAACTACTTTAAATGCTCGATTAGTGTTGATATTGATACTTTTGGTAAAGCCATACCCATCCATTAACTTCAACTCCTGCCATCCTGACAAGGCCTAAGCCTTTCTAAAAATTACTCTAATCAACATGGGAAACATCTTATACTTCAATCATCAACTCCAACCAACCAAATATAGAGTTCTTAATAAATATCAGCTTAGATTCCAACCCAATAAAGGATTTCTATTAGTAAAACTCTTGAAATAAATCCTCTATTAACAAAAAAATCTTCAATGCATACTCTTGTAGCATTAGGATCAGATCAGTTTAATTGAGGTTTTGAATTTCTTCAGTCCTTGATATTGACATATCAAAATTCTAAAATTATAATTCTTTTCTTTTATTAATTCCCTACATTGACGCATAGTGTTAATAAAATCAATCAATTGAAAAATTCATGCATCTGAATTTCTTCCCTAAGTTCATAACTAAAAGAATTCATCTTTCTTTGCTTTTTTACCTGTTAATTCCACTTAAAAATTCCTCGTATTTATCCTAGTGTTAATGATATTAAAAAAGGGAGAAATGCAGAGGGCTTACACAATGGGAATAGGCTTGAGAACACCATATAAAGACTCGATCACTCCAGCCGATCCACCACGGACCTAAACACATATATAAATACGAAGTTTCAGCTTAATCTATGTTTGTTTGGAAGCTGAGAAAATGAAACAAGAAGAGAACTAGAACCTGTAAGGTGACTGATCCATTGACAGTGAGGCGAATCCCGTTGTGGGAGATTGAAGATGGAAGCTTTGTGATGATTTTGCCTTCAAGTGGTTCCTGAAATTAGTTACAGAATCAATAAATACACACACATATATGTATGTATGTATGTATGTATATATACATAGAGAGAGAGAGAGAGTTACATTAGGGCGAAAGATACGGTTCGATCGGGAGAGTTTAAGCTCTACAGACATGGCAACGAGACGGCAGAGAGAGATGAGTAGAAGAAAGACACATAAACACAACAGAGCAAACCAGACCGAACGCAACATCGACCAGAACGCCTGCCCGGTTTGATTAGTTTACCGGTTCACGCATATTTACCAGACAAAAATGTTTGAGAGTAGCTCTAAGGATGTGAGCCTCATCGTAATATATATATATATTTTTTGTCACATTATTGAAATTTAATTAGAGTTTTAAAATTAAAAAGTTGCATCCTTGGTCTTTACCAAAGTTGCAGTCACGATGACCGGTTGATTTTGTACGGGCGAATTACATAATTTTTTGCTTTTTCAATTCTTATATGGAAAAAGATTGTTAGAAATGTGAATAAAATATACTTATATTTTACCTAATTTCACACATCTTTTCCCTTTTCTTTTTCAAATCCCTCCCCAAATCCCCCTACCAAACACAGCGTAAGATTGACTAATCTAAATTTAATGGGAATCAAAACCCAACCCTTTAACTAATTAAAGCCCTTACAATGTAGCATAGGTAGACTTCAAAAATCTCATTAACATTATGTTTGGTTGGGAGATTTGAGAAGGGAAAGGGAAAAGTTAGGTGAAATGTGAATAAAATATACATACATTTTACCTAGTTTCACACACCTTTTCTCTTTCTCTTTCCAAATCCCTCCCCAAATCCCCCCAACCAAACACATCATTAACAAATTAACACCAATTGAACACAAAAGAGGGTAGATATGAGGGTTAAAATAATGGGACTTAACATCAACGCAAAAAAATAAAAGAAAAGAGAGTTGAAGAGTGTTGCATGCCATGGTGCTGCTGGTAAATTGTATGGCAAGGTATTTCTGCCACGGGCTGAGACCGGGCATATCAGCATCGTTGGGAAAAACCTGAAAATTGTAAACGTAAAAGCAATTTAAACAGCATTACTAGAAGAACATAATCAATCAAAATCATCATCAAACATAATAAAATATATATATATATATATATAAGAAAATAAAAATTAAATTGGTGAAAAAAAAATAAAAACACATTATTTTTATATAATTTTATCTTTTGAAAATTTAGAAATAATTTTTTTTATATTTATTTTCTTCAAATTAGTTTATATTTTTTTAAAATTCAAACACGACGACAATTCTGATGTCATTATTAAACCAACCTATTAAATTAAAAAATTTAAAACTAAAAACATTTCATATATTAAATATATCGATTACATATTAAAAACCTAATAACCATCAATTACATAATAATCATTCAAAAATATCTGTAAAAACATCAAAAAAATAATCATCCATTATATGATTATCATTCAAATACTTACTAAAAATGAATTTGGTAAAAAAATTAAAAAATATATATAAATGTAAAAGATTTATCATTTTTATATAATTTTATTTTTGGTGGGTAGAAATAAATTTTAAAAATTCAAAAATAATTTTTTGATATTTATTTTTGTGAAACAAGTTTATATTTTATCAAATTGACGATTATGCCTTTGAAATAGAGCATTTTCCATTTATAAAGGAAACGGTATCTTCAATTATCCTTATTTAGAATGAGATTCAAATTTTAGGATAAAATGTAACAAGGTCAAGGGTCAACGTATCATAAGGCCCAAACTATAGGGACCGTTAGTGTAATTTGTCTATTTTGTAATGTTAAAAAATAAAAATTACACTCAAACTCTTTAAATTTGAAGAAAATAATACAATTAATTTTACACTCCATTTTGATGGAAGGATTTGTTGAAAAAATAAAATAAATTATGAGAATAAGAAACTTCTTCATTTGCTTGGATTATAAAGTAGGTAAGAAATGGTGATAGACAATGAGAAAAAAACTTTCATCAAAGCTAATTATCCTATGGTAGAAGAAGTTAGAAAAATAACTTGTTAATATGGAAAGTTATTTTGGTAAAATTAAATATAACACTTTTTTTTTCTGTTATTTACTCTATTCAAACAAGATATGTAAGAAATCATATTATTTTCTCTTTTATTCATTCAAATACAATGGTGAGAAACCATAATCATTTTCTTTCTTTGCTCACCTAAGTGAGAAACTACAATAATTTCTTTTCTTTTCTCACTTCACATCATGATCCAAACGAAGTGTTACACTTTTGACATAATTGTATTAATTTCTCTTGAAATTTTAATTTACATGACAAGTAAATCATTGTCATCGTTTTTTTTTTCTACTTTAATCTTATTGAAAAGGAGATCAATACAATTATGTTAAAAATATTAGACTAACTGTAAATGTAAATCACACACTCATGTAAATGTTTAGTAAAAACTGTAATATAATATTTAAAATCTCTAATATTATTCTAATTTTATTATATTAAAAAATTAAATTATATATCTATTTAATAAATAAAATCAAAGCAAGGAAGGATAGAATGGGATGAGAAGTAAAATCCATCTCATCTTCGTGGAGCTCCCTTGCGACAAGTATGTAGTATTGCTGACAGGCTAGTTGGAGTAGAGATTGGAGAAGTTCTCAGAGTTGTTCTTTTGGACAAGGGCGTTGTGGATAGGTGAGGAAAGCATTCTTGGCATAGAAACGGAAAGAGGCTTGGCGAGATATTTTGTAGTGGTAAACAGTAAACTCACACTAGATTGGGCGGATGGGCCGTTGTTCTGAATCCTGTTATCAGAGGAGGAGGAGAGTTCTTCGTCAGTATATAAATTGTTGATATTATTTTTGTGTATCCCTAATCTAATCCAGTCATCTTGCCTCCAAACGAAGAGACAACAATTTTGACATATCTCGTACTATATAAAATTTCGACTTACAAATAAAATATTATTTTCTGTTCATTTTTTTACTTCTTCATTTAAAAAATGAAATGAATTAAAGGGGCTAGTATATGAGAACCTCTCTCGTTTAACATGGGAGCATGATGAGTGGAAATCCCCATTACTAAGGCCCAAAAGTGACCATCAGAGCGACTGCCCATCACCACCAGTTCCAACAAATTTGTAGTTAACTAAGGCAATTCAAGCCTAGTCCAAATTCAATTTATTATGTTCAGATAAAACATAGACAATTAAAATTTGAATATAAATCGGATTTAAACAACTCTTACCATAACCTCAAAACCAGTCCAAACCTGCTGAGTTGCAACAATCCACTCTTATGTTATATATTTTCGTTTTGAAAGAATTGATGCCTGAATAAAACAAATGCATTTTCTAGGAAATTTGTCATCATCAATGGCTAGCAGGATTGAATTCTTATTCATTAACAAACACAAAATCAAACAACCATCATGTTGATAGAGAGCTAAACATAGACAAAGATATGCCGCATCAAATTCGAACCCAGATGTTGAACTTCAACGCTCTCTTATCTCTCTTCCTTTTCTCCACCACCGCTAGCCCCTTCCTCCTCTCCCAATCACGGTAACTCCTATGAGTTGGATAAGTTCAACAACTCCAATGGATAGCCTGAGGAGCTTGACCTGGGGTCTTGGAGACCAATCTTCAAACCTGATTCGGCTGTTGGCCAAAAGTAATTAATGTCTCCAATTCAAAAGTGACCTAATATCAGCATGTTGGAATTATGATTTTTATAGATTTATTTTGGGTTAACTTTGAGCTCAAATTTGGATGGGGTCCACACGTCTTTTGGGGTGAGTCCAAAGTAGGTGACCTGTTCCTTGCCACATGGCAAGTCACGCGGTGAAGACGGTTCGTCAAAACCATTTATGAGTGAATGAGAAGTTGACGTCTTTTTCGGGTTCGTAGAATGGACTATTAAAGAAGTAAAATATGGGTTTCCTTGAAATGGTTATCCGACATTGAAAACTTAAGAGAGCTTATGTGTGTGTATAAGTTTTAGGTGTCAACACTTGGGTTGGGCCTTAAGAGGCACCCCAAGTTTGTAGAAATGAGGAGTTATGGACAAAGTAACATTTCGTTCAAACCACCACAAGCGTGCGCGGCCGTCCACCGGGTCGATGTAGACGCGCTCGTGGGCCTCGCTACAGTTCGGACTCGATTTGTGTCACGGTTCTTAATCTGAACCAAAGAGTCCAAATCCGGCAAATCGTTTTGAGAAACAGATTTTTGAAAAGAAGTGTCAAACATGGACTGCTTTGCTAGATACAGAGTCGCCACTTAAATATTTGATTTTGGGAGAATTTAAGAAACCCTGACTCGGTGCCAAAGGCCACGTGTCCGTCATCACCAAAGTTGCCTCGGCTCGGGAACTTGGGTACGATTAGGGAAGGTCAGCTATGAGCACCCCCTTTCGCCCGATCCGACGATCGGCCTCTACTAACCATGATATCCGTTTTTGAAAACGTTATGTGTTCTTATCCCGATTATTAGCCTAGAATTACTATGTTATGCGCACAACACAAAAGTATAGATTAGATTGCCTAATTTGGGAATAAGCATTGTATATCCGTTTGTTTTGGAAAAATATTTTTGAAATTTACTACTCGTAAGTAGGCTAAAACACGGATTTCAATGAGCTATTTCAACTCAGACAATCCAACCTTCACCCACAGGCATTCAAACAGTTATATCACATAAGCAACTAGCCTCGTGGTAATCATGCTATTATGGCAACACTCACACGCATGTAAGGATGCTAAAGCATAAATGCTTACATCGTACTCCGTGCCAAAACAAAGAACTTGTTAATAATCATATGCATGATCCTAGTTCATGTTAAGATGACTAATGCAACGCATACAGAATGTCACTAGAGTAGGCTCGGCTAGTTTATGAATGACATGTGAAAATGCACAAGTAACATGTATTCAAGTTAGATTTGAAATACTAATGCAGTTAGCATGATGCGCCGAGCCCGATGTATGCAATACTGATGAATGATGCACGCATGCATAGCATAAGATATGCTAAATTAAACATGTCCTATTACTAACCATCAAAGCAGGTAAGTAAAATGAAGAAAGAAGTGGAGGTTGGAAGACATGCACACACTCACCCACACTTATTACAAATTCGCCCTCGCTCGGAGGGACCAAAAGAATAATACAATTCGAATAACGAATTAACTATCCTAGCTAATTAATTATTACAGACCAACTAAATTAATTAAACAAATTAATTAACTTAAGAAAGCAAGAAAAAGGGCCTCGGGAAGAGGGCTCAATGCACGCGTGCTCGGGTCTTGCTCGGAAGTCCATTGCCATGCACAAGCTGCCTCTGTTTTCCCTGTTCTGCTTCTCTGAAGACTGCCAAAGTCTCAGGATGTGCTCACTGGATGTTAAGGAATGCCACCGGCTGGAGGGAATCATCACCGGTTGTGATTTGGTGTTGATCGGCCAAAAATGAATCCATCGGCCACAGATGGATTGCCGGTCGACACTCTGTGCAGTCGATCGGCAAAAAGTTCCTGCAGAATCTGTTTGACAGCAGCAGAGGACAGAGCTTTGCATGGCAATGCAATTCAAGCAATGTATGCACCAACCATATCCCTTATCATGTTTATGACTCAAAGGGACATGGTTCTTGGTTCTCGGACCATCAATCGCGCATTTCGATGCGTGATGGCCCAAGAGACCAATTTATGCATGTTGATTTCAAACACAATGCAAACCAACAAACAAGTGAGGAGCTCAACCTCAATCATGGATAATCAAGAGGCAAAGCATGAGGCATGCAACATGGTAATGCAAACAAGCATACAAGGCATGTGACAACTATGCTAGTTACTCAAGCATGCAAGTATGCAAAGCATGCAACATGTTAGGTAATTCCAACTAAGAGAAATGCATGCTAAATGCAAAGTCACTTAAACATGCCACAACACGTGATAAGCCGAGCATGCAATCAACACACAAGGTAAGCATGTCACAACATGCAAGAATGGACTTAGACTAATTTAGGCAGCCCTCAAACTAACCTAAAACAGTGGCCAAAGTGCCCAAAAATGAAGGACTAATGGCATGCAAACATGCATGTATACAAGGACCAACACTTAGGCATAAAGAGACAATTCTCAAGCACACTTACGAGGATGCAAACATGGACATATAGCATGCAAATTAAGCTTTGAAAGTCATGCTATAGGAGGTGCCAAACCAACTAAACAAAGCTAGCAAAACATGCCACAATGACCCAAGTGCTTAAGGCTCACCAAAGAGGCATTGAACTACACTTATCAAGACCAAACATGGCATGATTCAAGCAACTAAAATCATGGTTTTAGCATGTCAAAATGAACCTCAAAAACCACTTAGATGATATCAAAATGACTTACACACGGAAGCATGCACAAATGTACTTTCAAGGAGCATGAAACACAAACTCTTAAAACATCAAAGAGTCATGAAATGCAAGTATACAAACATGCTAAGTGGACTGAAATGACATGGAAAATGGCGCCAAACCACTGAAATTATGCAAGGGGAGCATGCTAGAGGGGCCAACACTCAAGGCTTATAAGGGAGATTACATGGTAGCTATACAAAACAAGTCATGGATGACCCAAATAACCAAAATCAGACCTCAAGCATACTAAAACATGCATAAAAGCTTCACAAAGCTAAGCCGAAATCATGCTAAAAACAAGGCTCAAAGCACAAAGCATGTTAAGGCAATTTCATGGCATTACAAGGCATGTATGCTAAGCAAGTATGGTGTACCAATACCAACTAAAAACAGAGGCATATTATGACATAATAAACACAAAAATCAGCTAAGGCATGGTCAACATGAACCTAAGCTAGATGCTCCCTCAAGAGGCAAAAATGGTCCTTTTCAAGGACAACAAGGAGAGGGGGTGGCCCTCTCCTTCTTGGGACCTCAAGGCACCATCCTCACCTCTGAAATCCCTCAAGATTTCAGTGGTGAGGAGGCCCAAACACCAAGGTCTCGGAGCTCACACAAAATGGCACAAAATGGAGCCTTACAAGGCTTAAGAGGGGTCAAACAACCTCAAACCACAAAACACTCTAAACATTTACATTTAGAGAGCCTAAAAACAGAACTTTTTTATGTTATATACTAAAAAGTGGAAGAGGGAAGTTATAGACGAAATGGCTTTTGGTTCAAACCACTAAACGGGCACGTGCCACCGCTGTCCGATCGGCTGGCCAGACCGAGCCGTGTCGGGCGCACGATGTGGGTTGAATCCGTTCTAATATTAATTTTTTGGACAAAATTTAAATTCTTGCGGGAAATTAATTCAAATTTTGCATCAAATTTGAATTCAAATTTTATGTCTAAACAAGTCTCTTATGGTTCAAATTTTCAACATATTCAAACTATTTTTTTAGTAGTTTTAAAACTGCCCAACAGTTATGGATAGATTCAAACTGCCAGCAAATCTATTCAAAATTCAAACTGTATCTGTTCAGATTTATTGCACCTATTCAGTTCTTTTTCATACCCATTCGGATCTGTTCAAACTGCCACCAAGTTGCCTATAAATAGAGATCATTTCTAGTAGTTTTTCAGATTCAGAAAATTTATTATCTCCTGTTTTTGCACTCTGTTTGCATTGTTCTTCATATTAGTTATTTAGGAAAAAATTATAAGTGTATAGAACACAGGTTTGGTTCGCCGTACAGATTTGTGTAGATTATTGTATCCTGAGAGATAAATGTCATTTAACCGTAAGAACAAGAGCGGAACAAATATATCTTAAGGATAGAGTGTCACACACTCGACTTGATCTTTTTGAACTTATTCGGTTTGATAAATAAATTCTGTAAGTAATTTACTTTTATTTGTTTAATTTGGTTTCAAGTTATTTATTTTACACAACAGATTGTTCCAACACAGCATGCTAGCCAAGTAACTGGCAAGAGTTTCCTATTTCATTAGTCTCCCATGCCCTCGGGCTTCTGGTCTTTGTCCGTAACTTCATATCTACCTCAAGGAAAATGAAAACCATTAAAAAAATGTATTTGAAAACACAATATTTGGAATTCTATAAACACCATATTTACCCAATTATTTATTCCTTTGTTGGTTAAGTTAATCTACCATAGGTCATATTAAAGCTTTGTTTTGCTAAGAAACAATCATCAACACTGTATATGTATTCATGAAATTTTCAAATTTTCAACTCCACATTTTGAAATAACTGTCAGCATTTCCTTAAAGATTATAGCAGGGAAAAATAAAAGGAAAGTAATATGAATGCATTTGGGGCTGCAATCAAGTTCACAATGTAAATGGACCATAAAGTATCACAATATAAACTTTTACAGTAACTAACAAAGCACATGTTTATATTCAGATTTCCAGCCATCAAATAAAACAAAAATAGAGAAAGTGAACATTCAAAGAGAGTAGCTCCACAAAACTCTCAGCACTTCTATCAAACACTAGATTCATGGTCTTCAAACTCCTCTTTTATCCCTTCATGACCAAATGGGGCCAAAAATCAAGTCAACAGGACCAAAAATCACGATTAAAAATATCAAACCAAACTCTATATAACTAGACCCTAGATGATCAGCAAAATTGTCTAAAAGGTGAATCAAAAAGAAGAAAAAAAAAACACACATGGTTGGGGATCCGAGATCCCGCCCAAGACCTTCCAGATATTATACCAAGTAGAAAAACAACACACACAAAAGGAGACAATATTTAACGTAGTTCGGCTCAATGCCTACGTCCACGAGAGAAAACCATTTACACTATATGAATGGAGATGAAATACAAAGAGATTTACATAACGGAGGAGGAGACTCTCTCACTCAACTTCACCCTCTCTCACTGAGGGAGCTCCCTCTCTGCCACTAAGGGACTCTCAGTTTTCTCTCTACATTTTCCCACTGGTTTTCTCACATCTTTCTTTGCTCTCTCTTCCTCTATTTATACACCGAGGAGAGAAGAAATTGGCCAGCACTATCCCGCAAATCACTCTAGATTTACTGTATCAGATTCAGCGCTCCCGTGTTCGGTACCACCATTCCTGACTTCTTTATCCAAGCTCCCACTTGGTTTCACATGGGCAGAAGAGAAAGAAGATCACCCCTCACATGGGGTGATATCCAACAAGCACAAACATAAACAAAAGCCAAGACATTAAGGCAGCATGCATCAACTTCTAAATTTGCCGAAGTGAAAACAGAGTGCAAAGCAAATGTCAAGGACCTTTCAACAAAATGGGAGTGTCTCAAGAAAATGATTGAGAGAGAGAGAGCGCATAATTGCATAGGTATTTTATGAGTTCTACTGAAAACAATAAATAATTTTTGAAAAATAAAAAATAAAATCAGCAAGCAAAATGACAAAGGAAAGACACATCCCAAACATAACATCAACTGGCTCAGTAAAACCTTAGACAATGGTTTCATCAATCTACTACCAACCATTTGAAAGCAGCTGTAAGCCCGGCCTTTTTTGTCATCATTGCCAGTGAAAATATTGATCAACATCAATTACAATATAAAACCTTAAAAAATTTAGAAAATAACACTAGGGCTGTGTTTAGATCTTGGATTTGTCAAGTGAAACAAAAGGGGGAAGGAAGGAAAAGTTAATGAAGTAAAAGCTTCTTTTCCCTCCCCATTTATTTTCCATCATAAATTAAAGATCCAACCACAGCATATGTGAAATTGAGGTGACTAAGAACAATTCAATTCAATTGTTAGCAAAAAGCACAACTATTTCTTCCTGTATAAACTTTATTAAGAATTTTTATGAAAGATGCAGTTGCCTACACAATTCAAAAGCCTGGGTAAGTCATCCCCATGATCTTACCTCATTCTGCTACTAATTATAAACTTACAACCACATTAATTTAACATCAGCATCATAACAACCTTACATCATCACACACAATGCAAGATAAATTCAATTCATAAGTTCAGCATTTGCCAAGGGCTCTGTGTGTGTGAGTTTTGCAGGAAAATTTTCCAGCAAAATGGACTTTTTCAAGCGAAGAAACAAACAGAAAAGGAAATAAAAAAATTAACACCAAATATTCGAAACCAGAACTATGAATACAAACGCTCGCACAAGCACTCTCTCTCTCTCTCTATCTATCTAAAACAGCAGGTGAGAGAGCGAGAGAGAGAGAGAGAGAGAGAAGAGCAGTGCCCTTGGACTTACTGGCGTCGACGACAGAGATTCAGTGTCGGACCGAATGAAGCCATGTCGTCGCTAACAACACACCACACCCGGGCGCCCCGCCCCCGCCGCCCCCTTCTCTCTCTCTCCCTCTCTGCAAAACCCTACTAGGAAGAGTGACTTATTTATACTGGGACTGGAGGGAAAATAATACGGGAAATTAAAACTTAAGCTTTTTTTAAATGATTTAAATAAGTATATTTTTTTATTTTTTACAAAAAATATGTAAAAAAAAAAAAGTAATATTCCCTAAAAAAGATTTAAAAAAATAAAGAAAAAGAAAAATGATTCGTAACTCAAAAATTTTTCAACTCGAATGGCTCGACTGATCAAAACGACATCGTTTTGAACAGTATTTTTTTTTTTCTCCCTATTAGATCCCTGAAACAGAGACAAAACAAAGGGATGAAGAGAGAGGAAGAGAAAGAGAGACAGAGAGAAAAGAGAGGAAGAAAGAAAAAAGAGAGAGAGAGAAGAGAGAGCCCACTGAGTTTTTTCTTTTTCTTCTTCTATTTTTTTTTTCAGGGTTTGAAATCGATCGATTTCATCAAAATCGATGGATATGGAAATCGATGGATATGGATTTCACAAAATCGATGGATGTTGACGATGATGATGTTGATGAAGATGTTGTAACGATGATGTTGATGAAGATGTTGTTGTTGATGATGTTGATATGTTTGATGATGTTGATGAAGATGTTGTTGATGATGATGATGCGTTGATGAAGGTGTTGTTGTTGATGAAGATGATGTGTTGATGAAGATGTTATTGATGAACCAGCTTCCTCTTCTCTCTCTCTCTGTGTTCCAGCTTTCTCTTCTCTCCCTCTCTCTGTGTTCTTTATCTTCAAAGAGAGAAGAGGAAAAAAAAAAAATCCCAAACGACGTCGTTTTGGACTCGAGTCATTCGAGCCATTTTCTTTTCGAGCTACCAATCGGAAATGATTCGTAGCTCGAAATTTTTTTTGCTCAAATGGCCCGACTGACCAAAACGACGTCATTTTGGACAGTGATTTTTTTTTTCCCCCCCTCACTCTCCCTATTAGATCTTTGAAACAAGGACAAAACAGAGGGATGAAGAGAGAGGAAGAGAAAGACAAAAAAGAAGAGAGAAGAAAGAGAGAGAGCCCACTGAGTTTCTTCTTCTTCTTCTTCTTTCAAGGTTTGAAATCGATCAATTTCATCGAAATTGATGGATATGGAAATCGATGGATATCCATCGATTTAGATTTCACAAAATCGATAGATGTTGATGATGATGATGTTGTTGACGATGTTGATGAAGATGTTGTGATGATGATGTTGATGAAGATGTTGCTGTTGATGATGATGATGTTGTTGACGATGTTGATGAAGATGTTGTGATGATGATGTTGATGAAGATGTTGTTGTTGATGATGATGATGTTGATGAAGATGTTGTTGATGATGATGATGCGTTGATGAAGGCGTTGTTGTTGATGAAGATGATGTGTTGATGAAGGTGTTGCTGATGAACTAGCTTCCTCTTCTCTCTCTTTGTGTTCCAGCGTTCTCTTCTCTTTCTCTCTCTGCAAATGGCCCGACTGACCAAAACGACGTCATTTTGGACAGTGATTTTTTTTTTCCCCCCCTCACTCTCCCTATTAGATCTTTGAAACAAGGACAAAACAGAGGGATGAAGAGAGAGGAAGAGAAAGACAAAAAAGAAGAGAGAAGAAAGAGAGAGAGCCCACTGAGTTTCTTCTTCTTCTTCTTCTTTCAAGGTTTGAAATCGATCAATTTCATCGAAATTGATGGATATGGAAATCGATGGATATCCATCGATTTAGATTTCACAAAATCGATAGATGTTGATGATGATGATGTTGTTGACGATGTTGATGAAGATGTTGTGATGATGATGTTGATGAAGATGTTGTTGATGATGATGATGCGTTGATGAAGGCGTTGTTGATGAAGATGATGTGTTGATGAAGGTGTTGCTGATGAACTAGCTTCCTCTTCTCTCTCTCTCTCTCTCTCTCTCTCTGTGTACCAGCGTTCTCTTCTCTCTCTCTCTGTGTTCTTCACCTTCAAAGAGAGAAGAGGAAAAAAAAAATCCAAAGCGACGTCGTTTTGGACTCGGACCATTCGAGCCATCTTCTTTTCAAGCTGCCAATCGGAATTGAAACAAATTCAATCACTGCAAAATAATTATAAAAAATTATTTTAAAAAATTTATAGTCAATAGTAATTGTTCCAAAATAATACCTTGGTAAGCCTACACGTGCCATTCACGTGATGTGCTTCAAATTCCCTTTTTTTTTTTTCTTTTTTTTTTTTGTTATTATTTTTATTTTAAAACCTTACCACAACCAATGATGGACCAACCATAAAAAATAAAAAAAAAATGGTAAAATTTCATTAATACATCTTGATATGAGCTGGGAATTAATCAGAATTTATTGGGTTGTTTATAATTTTATTTTATTTTAAATTTATGTCATAGATCGTGCAATTCTTATTTATAATTTATGTAAGAGAAATAATTTAAATAAATTGGAGAAAAAATAAAAAAAAACATAGCAAATTATTCTAGTGCAGAATATAGGGGAATTTTTTAAAAGATTTTGGGTATTAAAATTTTATGAGATAAATGACATACAATATTTTCATAATGATTGGAGTCCCTCAACATTTTTTCAGAGAAATTTTAATCTAGAGAAATTTCAAAATACAAAAAAATTTCAGACAAAATTCTCGATTTTTTGAAATCTCCTCTAGGTTTTAAAATTTCTCTAAGTTAAAATTTCTCTAATTTGCTCACAAATTTCCGTGTTTTAACTAATTTTATCTGATTTGCTCACAATTTTCTTTATGTTTTGACTAAACGAGAGAAAATTGAACTATAAAATTGAATCCAGAAGATTACCCTAAACCCTAAACACAATAAAATGTTATGTACAATTGCATTGATAAATATATAGAGAGAGAGAGAGAATTGAATTGAGAACCTGAAGAGGGAGAAACGTGGAAGTGGTTCTGGTTGGAAGAGAGAACCATGAAGAAGAAGAAGAGACAGGTCTATCAATGGAAACAGAAGCTGTTTGAAGATTGGATTTAATGGCAGACTTGAGAGATGATATTGATGTTCTGTTGATGAATCTGTTGCATCTAGAAACCATCACAAGAGCTTTCAGAGAACAAAAATGAATGGTCTTGCTCTGGCGTAGCTTTGCTCAAAAGCCCATGTGGTGCAGACCTTAGGCAAAAAAATATATATATTGTGGACCTCCCCTATCATTAAAAGTTAGAAAGGAGTGTCAGACTAAATATCTCAAGAAAATAATGGATTTAAACTAATTTTTTTCACTTCTTACTTTTACTATAGTAATAATTATGTTGTTGGATCATAAATAACGTGAACTCTACAGATTATTTTGTTGTATTTTTCATGGACCACAATATGTCAATATTGATCGAGAAATTCAGAGGACAAATGGAGTTTTGAAGCAAACAAGGTCGAGGGCTTCTTCACCAAAAACAAAATTCAATTACTCAGTGTAGTTGCAAAAAATGTTTGGAAAAAAGAACAAAACCTCAGCTTAAAGCTAGAATTACAATCCTGACGCATAATACATAAGAGAGAAACAAAATTTATACTCTATGACAAACTTTAAACAACAAAATAATAAACTAGAGCTTGCTCACATGCCAACCCAGGGAAAAGGATCAAGGACCAAAAAAATAAAAATAAAAATTTTGGAATCCCTTGCGAAGGGTTCTTCTCTCTAGACTTCTGCAATTTATGGCAATCTTTGTTCGTCCAAATGGGTCCCTTCTGACATACATACAGGATATAAAGAAGGTTTGTATGAACGTGCATCAAGCCTTCCCAGAGTAGCATGCACACTTCAATGGCCAGCCTACAGAAACAACTTCCTTAACCTCTCAGCAGAAACAGCAGCTCTCTTGTTGGTTGGCTCAAGAACAAGTGCATAACTGAAATCTGCATGGTTAAAGGAACAATTAGTCTAACTTCAGAAAGTGGGACCCAATGAGTTTGCACGATTTGTCCTAGAAATGCACTGAGCGATTATAATGTTGAGAGTCATTAAAAAGCCTCATAAATTCCTCCTTCAGAGGGTAAAAAAAATGAATAGCCAATTTCAACTTCTAAGTGTCAATTTTTCATGAACTCAAACTATAACTTGCATACTCATTTCAAGTGATGAAGTGCAGAACAACATAGCTTTCTTTTCTTCAAGTCCATATGGTGAAGATGTGATATACATATGATAAAATCAAAATAAATAAGGTCAAATTTAGAAACAACAATAGGCTTACCTTCAATCGCCTCTTTATAATAGCCAAGCATCTCTCGAGCTGTGCCTCTTCTTAAATAAGCCTTTACATTCTGAAGAAATATAAAGCCACAAACAACATTATACTAAGAACTCTAACCAGAGTAAAGAATATGCACTGAATGCGTATATCAGAATATATTCCATATAGTTGCAAAGAGGAGAAAAAAAAACCATCTATCATGCACACACTATTTGTTTTAGCCTTAGACAGCCCTTCTTGGAAAAATCAGGGTCATATCTGGAATCAAATTCAAACAAGGATGATAACTTGTAGATGCAAAATTAATAAAAATGATATGCATCTTGAAAAGAAATGAAGATTATCTCTAACGCATGCCAAAACGTCACATGATGTGCATAGTAGCATAAATCTTAATATCAATAAGTGCAAGATAGAAGAGGAGATTCATGTGGCCAGTAGCCTAACATCAGTACTAAACAATAGCCAAGTCCAATAGAGATTGATCACTGAGAATGAAAGTCACCTTCTTATCAAGACTGATAGCTTTAGTACAATCTGCTTCAGCTTGAAGAAAGCTGGATGAACAAAGACTTGTTAAACACATAAATACAATCATTGAGGCAATAAACTTATGGTTTCAATTTTCTGAAAATTGAGTTTTTTATTTTTCGTATTTTTTTTTTATTTTTAGTGAATATTTTTAAAATTTTAAGCAATTTTTTTACTTCTTTAGATGCACCTTACTTA